AGGCAGGACTCTTTTTTCGTCGTTAATTTTATATCTTACATAATCGTTTGCGCATAGATGAATACTGAATGGTACTGTGTCTGTGGCAGTTCGCGTCTCCTTGCCCTCAGCCTTTGCTACGCTGCCTCACACTCCTAGTCGATACGCTGCTGGGACTCGCGAGGCTAGTGACGAGCCTCGCGAGTGCTCTCGGCCAGTCAACGCTGTCCCCCCTTTGATTGGCTGTCACGCGCGGAGATAACGAAAGGCGCACACACGCGCTGAGTCTAAGCACCTAGAAGGCGGTCGCGGGCAACGACTTGCTTGGATCGCGCTCGCGGCGACTGCCTACAGAGCTTTTGTGTACGCACTTCCAAACAGTAAAGGTTGTCCAACTCACTCCGTCTTCCCTGACTTTTGATCCGGGAATCTTAGTCTTGTCGACCACCTACGACAGTTGGTGATCCCGACGTGATACGAGCACGCAACCTTCAATTGGTGACTCCCTTGCGGAAAGCAATCTTCCTTCTTCCTAATCTACGATCAAGTCAGGCGTTGATCATGCACAACTTTCCTCCGGAAGTTCAGCATATTTTGACACCGGCCTTCGGCATTCTTTCGGCCACGCAAATTACTCAGGTGGCCGATCGGCTTATAGAGATGCACGGTTTTCTAAGCTGTCACTTTCAGCACTCTCAGCTCCCTCAAATCCTCCTGCGTCTCCCCTTTCGACGTTGGAAATAGGGCTCAGCAAACTGGCCGATGATATAGCTTCTCTCCAGAAGCAGACAGTTTCTCCCTCATCTCGGATACAACCGAAGCCGTCCACCCCGCATGTCCAGTCTTCACAGTGTCACAGTGTGTGTAAGTGTAGTTGGGTACTAGGACCAATCAAAGTCTGAAAAGAATTCGCCTCGTATTTAGAAATGAAGGCGGATAATGTGGAAAAGACCTCCTTTGGATGCGATTTATGGAAATTGTTAATAGGTGACAATCAGTTGCTGATTATAGAAGGTTTCTCAGTGAGGAACTCTGAAACATTTGCTAGTCATTTCTGTATAGTATTTCTTGCTCCTTTGATGACACCGACTGACTAAATTATTCAGTTTGATTTAGACTCCCTCAAACACTTGCGAACTCCTTGGGCCATACACCGGTCTGGCATGTAATGTGCCATTCAACCACCAGGTTCCTGCTTCAACAGTGTTATCGCCAGCTGAGTACTCTTTTTCACGTTGTAGTGCGATTGGAAAACTGAACTTCCATCGATTTTCGTCGAAATTCGTTCAATCTGTGGTTAGATCAGACTGTTCCGTTCCACCACGGGGCCACCAGAGGAAACACCCCATTGAACCATAGACGGCGTCAACAAAGAGCCCAGAAACATTATGCAACTCCTCCCGAAATTAATAGGTGACTATTCTGCGACTGAATCGCGCCTTCCCTTATCCCACTGTTACCTAGGGATGATGACTGTATTTACACCATTCTCGTTCGAACTTAGTATTCATGTCGTTGAAGCAGCTTTTTGGGGATCCTTCACGGATTCGATAGTGAGACGCGAAGGTCTTTCCTTTCGGACGCAGTGGTAGGAGAGCGATCGTCAGTTTTAAGCACCTGGGGTTCACCTCTTAAGACAAGGCGTCAGACGCAGCATGTGGTTCTTCGTCGGCTGCGGTCAAACTCCATCCGCCTCCTAGGTCCTTCGCAACTTTTTTCAATTCACAAACACCTATCAACCAACATGACGCAGACAGAACTTCATCCGACATCGTCATCCGTCATCTCGACTTCGCTTCACTTTGATCTTCTGTGTAGAGGGCGGAAGCTGTAGTGGAACACTCCCATGACGCAGAGGACATCCCATACCCACACGCGCCTCCGCTGCGACATCACGTCCGCGATTTGGTCGATCCCTAGGATGGTCTGGACAATCCTCTAAATCATGTCAGCCAAGTGTCATTGCCGACAAAAGCTATCCCATCACTCATTTGCACCTCGCATGGGATTCGCAAACGTTAGACTGAGAACGACAAAGACCAATGCGCAATTACCGAAAGTTCTCACACTTACTTATTTTTTGTTGGCCGTCTGAGTTTAACACACTATCTGGCGTTCTAATAATCATTTAAATAGGATGTCAGCGTAAGGCGAATGTTTAGTAAAACATCATGGATACTGTTTTGCCAGAATATCAAAATTAGTTTTAAGAAAAGTACTCAACAGTGAAATAGATAGATGGCAGAATCTGCAGCTTCTGATGGCCGGAATAATATGGAACCTGGGAACTCATCCAACGAGGAAATATTTGTTTCGAGACGAAACTGAGCCGCTGGTTTTGAAAGTCTGCTCTGGTCGTTTTAAATCTAAACTGTCGCAAACGCGTCTATCAACTGTTTGAATTAATTAGCATTTCATCATTTCTTACTTGAATAGAGAGTTGTTCTGAGATACCTTTCTTCTGGATTCTAAGACGAATCTGTTGTGAGACAATGATCGATATTTGTGTACAAATCAGCCTGACTGAAAAAATTCTTATTTATACTCTTCTGAGAAAGGGGATGAGTTAGTCACCTTTAATAATCTCCATCGATTTACAAAAAAAACTACGGAAGTTTGTCTTTTTCAGAACCTAAAATTCATGCACAGGATTGTAACAGACCGATGACCATTCACAACGGTTGATACTAGGGCATAGTTAAACTGCACACCTGTTAACATCTTCGTTGCCGGAGGGATGTATTTAAAAAAACCTTAGGTTCATCAGCTAACGGCACACATAAGAGCGCCCTTAGTTGAATAAGCAAGATAGTAATTTGGCTAAAAGATCCTGATTACTTCTGGGCACTACAAGAAAGAACACGCCAAAGGGGTCTTCCCGCGCTAGGATGGTCCGATTACACCCATACCAGCTGGAGACGCGTTAGGTTTATCGGCTTCAGGGGTCGCCTGGTTCGGCCGAAATCTTGATCATCGTCGTGGACGACAAGGCTGCGTGACTGTTCTCCCCCTTCACATTGCTTGCCTACTATTTTCATATGCAGGCAAAGACTTTTAGAAGTTGGTTGCCTGGTCATTAAATTTGGCGACGTCTTTAACTTTTGCTTCTTGGTCAGATGTGGTTTTGTAGCCGCACCTGAGGTGAACAAACTCCAGCTACCTGTAATACGGGACCGGTGGTAATAGGGGTTTATACAGGTGGGGCCGGCGAACGCACAGGCGACGAGGTCAAGTAATTGTATGCAAAAGAAAAGCCATTGGGAATGCGCGGTTGTACTTTGAGCGGTTGAGAAATAGTTGCCCTAACCCCTAGCGCTAGCTCCTAACTCTAGCCCCTAGCTCGAACCCCAACAGTATTGTGTCCATCAGATGGGACTATATAATCATATCTCGCCTGCTCCTTTTAAAAATGCGTCCTTGTTTAAGTTTTTTTTTCTGGCAAATGACATTGGCAAACTTTGTTAAGTATCTAAAGCAGAACTTTGACTCGAGATAAGCTCTTAAAAAGGAGATTGAGCCCCGACCTTTCAGATGTTGGTTGGAGCACGGTGAGCTGACGACGGCCCACAAGCCCCTAGTTTGTTTTCATAATTTTCCTGGTCTCCGCTGTTGCCATTCAGCGTGCAGTCACTTTGTCCAGAGAGAAAGGAGAGGTGTTCACCGCCAACGTGTGGTATTAGAGGATAAGCTGACTTATAATGGGCCTTGAGGGGAACAAATACATTATTTTTCTGGGTAGTGCGTACTAAAAAAGATGCACGAAAGTAAAAAGTACATTGGAGGATAAACTACGTAAAAGAACACACGTAAATAAATGTATTTTCAAGTTATCCGTCCGAAGTTAGGAACACGTGGAAAGTCCCCTGTTGACTTTTGGCACGCCAACATTCTATGTAGTAATTAGTCTACCTGCAGTTTGATATTGCTTATTCGCCTGTTCCTAACGCCAGCTCCAGAAGTAAAGGGGCATTTTCCAAGGAAGAGGTTTGGCCATGAATGTTGGTGTGGTGCTTAGATGGCAAGATATCAAGCTACTTTTGTGGCTATCTAGGGTACGATACATCTGAAGTGATCATTTTCTGCTCCCTGCGTTGGGCCGTAGTCATAAAGCCACCCTTTTGAAAATGCATCCAGTTTTTCTGATTCAGGAAACGCGTACAACTTATTTTAGTGGTAAAATAGAGCCAGAGTATCGTTGTCTTTGAAACCATATACAAGTGTACAAGTACGGGTGATTTTGCAATGCTACTAAATTCTGTTTACAGTGCCTGCTAGTTTTATGGAATAAAATTATAAACTTTTCCGATTAACAGGACTGTTTGTGAGATACATCGATTTTCGACTCAGCTGAAATTTCCCACGTCAAGTCTGGGTAAAAGTCCACTCCACATTTCAAGTGAATGGAGAATGTGGATTAAAGAATGAATTCATACAAGGTGTTCAAAGCTTTCTAGGCTTCATGGTTAATGGCAACCCAACAGTTCGACCGTCGCATTCAACGATGTTCACCATATACTCCACAGAAAGTCGGAGCAGGCGCGGTGACTTGCGCGTTATATAGTTCACAGTGAATGGAGACTTGCGCAGCATCTACCGCGCTCTTTCCTTCTCCCCAACCTGGGCCCGGTGTCAGAATATAGTCAAGAAGGCCGGAGGCGGAAGAGGGCGCAGGTAGATGACACGATCGAGCCCGCACCTTCGCTTTTCACTGCACACCCTCTGGTCCACACAGCAAATGACCGGGATTTCCACCACCACCACCACCACCACCACCACCACCACCACCACCACCACCACCACCACCACCACCATCGGATTCGAACCACACATGCAGCAGGGATGCCACATGGAGAAGGAGCCGAGACACACACTTCCCACTTGCGTGGGAGGCAGCAGTTAGGTGCTTGCGGTGGGTGATTTTGATGTGCGGTGAGATGCTGGTGAGGGAGGATGTGATGGGGTGGTGCAGTAGGCGGGTGTCTACCGCCGGTTTTTGCTAATGCGCATGTGGCAAAATAGACCTATGCGGTGAATAAATGTGCGAGTACAATGTGGACAGTGGAAGCAGATGCGGCCAGTGTAGGTTGGTGCTCCAGGCACTGGTTCGCCAGTCTCTGTGCGTTGGACTCGCAGGTGACCGAGCAGGCCGATGCGTGAAGTGAATGCACGGGGACAGTATGAACATGAGAAGTTGTCGGTGTCAGTATCGGTTTCGAAGATGGTGACAGGGGTGGGGCTGCTGATGGTGGACGCGCAGGGCGACGGGGTGTGTGTTGGACTAGACAAGGTGGATGTGCAAGAGGTGCTGAGTGTGATGGGTTGATGGTTGTTGGCGTGCTGGGTGGCGGAGTGTGGGCGGAGCTAGTCATGGTAGGTGAGCTGGATGGGCTAGGCGAGTCGGGGCTGCGACCAATTCCCCTCTCGTGGATAAACATGTGGCCTAATAGGCCCATGAGGTGCATGAATGTGCGTGGGCGGTGCGGACCGTGGGTGCGGGTGTGGCGAGTGTAGGTTGGTGTTCCAGACACTGGCTCGCCGGTCTCTGTGTGATGAATTCGCAGGTTACCGGCCAGGCCGATGCGTGAGGTAAAAGTGCAATCGCAGTGAGGACAGGTGTGGATAGAGTCCATATTTCTGGCTTTGATGGTAGGGAGGTTGATGTTTTTCGGTGTGTTAGGATTCTGTGCAGTGGTGATGAGTACAGGAGCCGCCGTAGCGGATGTTGAGGCAATGGAGTAGGAGGATGGTAGTGGGGGTTCTGGAGTGCGGTCAGTATTGATTGTCGGCGTGGGAGGCGGGGTAGGGGTGGACGGGGGAACATTGGATGACGTCGTCCGGTTACTGCTGTTAGTAAGAAAATGCTCAATAAGTCCGGCTGGTGTCCGGAACGCCCGTTGACATCGTCTCTCCAAGCTTGTCAACCAGCTGGTAGGGAGGGGATTGTGCGCAGCGGCAGACGCGGCGTGAAGACCTACGTCCAGGCCTGCCACCGCACCTCTTGCAGGAGTAGGCATGGGTTCACGCGAACTCTGCGCAGTCTGAATAACGCGTGCCGTGGACACTTACCTCCGTTCTGACTCAGCACATCTATGTTGGAACCATACACACATGGACTGCGGTCAGATTCGTATTATTGGTTCGTGGTACACATTTTCATAGAAGCGAAAGTATTCAAGAAAGGAATGAGCTATTACAGACATGAATCTGGTCTTGCAAGATGCCATACTGGCAGCATAGGTAACAGCTAGTATGGTATCTTGCTACTTTCTGCCTGTCGGCAGCTAATGACCATTACGGAGTTATCCCGCTGTGGCTGGTGGACTTCGGCCCGAATATTCATACATCAAATTTTGGTCTGCGCCTATAGACCTTAGTATAAACTGATTTACTCCAAGTAAGTAGTTAATTTCTGAGGAAATTAAAAAGCAATAATGATCGCGGTCCTATATCTGGGCAGAACTTTGTCATCAGTTGGCAACCCTCAGGATCAATGGAAACCCGGAATGTAATTTCATTCCGAAATCGAGACTAATTGGTTTACGCAGCTCCCATCTGACTGAAGCTTTCCGATTCCAGCCGAAGAGTGTGAACCCGCAATTATGTGCTAAGGCTGCTGCTCGATGCTCAGCAAACTGGGGTTTGATTCTGGTGCGCGCAGGCCGCTGGAGTGACGTGTCCCTGGCATATGGGAACAAATAAGTCTGCACTGGTCACGCAGCGTCCCTGCACTCTTCGACAAGGACCTCCCGACTACTGATTGCTAGTCACCATGTTACGGTTTCAGGAAGCTCAGGATCGTGAGATCAAAGGCGAAACGTAACTTACCATTTTCTTGCCTTACGCGGACTAGATCCATACTCGTTAAAACAATAATTTACCTCTACGGTAGAGTCAAACTGAGGTAGACGGCCCTCACCGATCGCGCTATGGGACCTGCTAGTCATCTTATACCTTAGAGTTCAATCTAGATCTCCACCAGCAGCCGCACAGCGGCTACTAATATAGGCAGAATAGCGTTACCGACAAAGACAAGGAGACTGTAACGATCATTTCTGACCTATTAGGCGTCATCAATTAAAACGGAACAAAATAGTGCGCTTATGAATTGTATTTCAGCCTAGAAATTGAAAAAGGACTTCTGTGTTGCCACAAGTGTGAAAATTATACACTCTGTCCCATGGTTACTGAGCCCCCTGATTTGCAAATAAACTTTCACGAACTCGCTCAGATGAGTGGGACTTTTTTCCCGGGAGAGCAAACATTGTCAGATTTTAGTGCGAACGGATTTTCTTTTCTATAAAGCATCTTAATATATTAACAAGTAATAAGAATATTCAACATAAGGCTGTTCCACATTTACAACGTCATCCGGATTGCGATACCATCACCCAAGGCTAACAGGAGAAATGATCTCCATTTCACCATAGAATTCAAACAGGACGGATTTTCAAAACACCCCTCGCATGCTGGACGGCATTCCTTGGTTGAACTTTCGACTGTTGCTGTGTGCACGCCGAAATCGTGGCGCCCCCATGATTCTTAACCGGGTCAAGGTTGGGACTCAGAGATGTACACACAGACAAAACCCTATCGTTTCCCACAGGTTTTCGATTATTTGCACTCGTGCAAGTCATTCGAGTTAAACTTCTTTTTATTAGAGTGAACTATTTTCTACCGGTTATCTGTTTGGCAACGGTATAGAGACGGACCCCACTTAACTGTCAGTAGGCTGTGGATCGTGCCATACGTGATTTATGGTAAAGGGAGTTTTATGAGTGGGACAGAACGCTAGACAGTAAGCTAGCACAATGAAAGAAAACACAGAAATTGCCTAGATTTATGCCGAAAGTATTATCCTACGCTTTTATGCGACAACGGTAATGAGAGTAGTAATTAAACAGTAAAAAGTAAGTTTCACAAAATAACGGCTTTTGAGTTAAGATGTCAGGTCATGGGAAGTAATCGTTCTTGGTAGTGCAATTTCTGCAACAGCCTGCAAATGTACGCCAAGATAAAACCCCATATGGCACGATCAGCAGTCTACTGGCAGTTAAATGGGGTCCTTCTCTATACCGTTGCCATCTGTTTATTTGATGTGCCCTTAAGCCCGACCTATTCGCCGTCCAATTTGATGTTTTCTCCTCTATAGTATTCAGTAAATTTTTTAGCAAACGAATATAAATATACTTGTTCTTCTGCCTTTGAAGCGTGTGTTCCGGAAACTTCAGATCAAGGTCTCGTTTGATGGTGTGCACGTTACTTCTTCTTGCAGGCACCTCATGTTATATCGTTCTTTTCGCTCGGGTTACATAACTCCCGTCCTCCAGGTTCCGTTCTGCCTATAATACTCTTTACGAGGTGCAGTATAATTTTCCGCCACGGTTGTCGATGTTTTCGGATGTTAACCAACTTCTCCACTGCCAAGCCTCATCACACGCGGCACCAAAATCCCACCTCATTCAAATCCGTAAGTTTGACTCTTCTCGGCATTTGTACAAGACTGCAAAAGCAAATATTACACTTTTGGGTGTCATCAGTACATTGTGAAGTGGTGACAACCATTTCAACCTGCACGGAACGTAATATTTGCAGTGTCCTAGTAGTTTCGGCGGTAGAAAACGCTGGAATATTAGCTGGTCTTAAATTGTGAGACGGTCATCCTGTGAATATTCCTGTTAGCCACTTTTACTATCTTGTGAGGATGGTTCGCTAGCATCAAAAGCCCCCACTGTTTACTCCCTTGTGCAAAAAACCAAATCAGTTCACGCAAAACTGCCGAAGTTCCGTAAAGAACGAGTAACTCCTATAATTAAAGGACAGGCTGAAAGTCAGTTGAATATTACACATAACCATATAAATGTATGTTCTGACGAGAATTAATCAAAAACAAACCTATGTACACAAAACAATTTTACGTATTCTGCGCACTTTAAAGTTTTAAGCTCCCGGAATACATAACACCGTTTCAGGCAGCGAAAGCATCGTCTGAGACAGTCTTACCACTTTTGTCCTGTGGCACAGCTAGTGGGGTTCACATTTTTGCGACAAGTTGATTAAAATGTCAAAACTGTCGCCAATCAAAAGGCGTCCACAACTCCCTGGGACTCGGGACGATCACGAATCCGAGCGATGAGACCGCTGACTGGCCAATCCAAGGCATTTACACTCGAGTCCGCTGATCAGCAATGGCATACTAACAAGAACTCATGATCTGTCTTCCTGAAAGTTCTTAAAAGTAATGAAATGCCCGATTCCATGGTTACCTATTCCTGTGTTCCTACGTTAATCCCAGCTTCAACTTCAACCTCAGCTCTCCTCCCTAACCCTCATTTTAAAACCAATGCTAGCCCTCTTAATCCTAAGCATAGACTTAGTGCCAGCCTAAACCCCAAAACTCTGAAGCTTAGCGCAAGATCGTCTGCTATACGGGAGTACGTATTCCCCTCCCCTATCAAGGCAATATTAGACCTAATTAGTAAGGTGCTGATAGGTTGG